AGTACTTTATATAAAACATTACAGTACTTTATATAAAACACTACAGTACTTTATATAAAACACTACAGTACTTTATATAAAACACTGCAGTACTTTATATAAAACACTGCAGTACTTTATATAAAACACTACAGTACTTTATATAAAACACTGCAGTACTTTATATAAAACACTACAGTACTTTATATAAAACATTACAGTACTTTATATAAAACACTGCAGTACTTTATATAAAACACTACAGTACTTTATATAAAACACTACAGTACTTTATATAAAACACTACAGTACTTTATATAAAACACTACAGTACTTTATATAACACACTACAGTACTTTATATAAAACACTACAGTACTTTATATAAAACACTACAGTACTTTATATAAAACACTACAGTACGTTATATAAAACACTACAGTACTTTATATAAAACACTACAGTACGTTATATAAAACACTACAGTACTTTATATAAAACACTACAGTACTTTATATAAAACACTACAGTACTTTATATAAAACACTACAGTACTTTATATAAAACACTGCAGTACTTTATATAAAACACTACAGTACTTTATATAAAACACTACAGTACTTTATATAAAACACTACAGTACTTTATATAACACACTACAGTACTTTATATAAAACAATACAGTACTTTATATAAAACACTACAGTACTTTATATAAAACACTACAGTACGTTATATAAAACACTACAGTACTTTATATAAAACACTACAGTACTTTATATAAAACACTACAGTACTTTATATAAAACACTACAGTACTTTATATAAAACACTACAGTACTTTATATAAAACACTACAGTACTTTATATAAAACATTGCAGTACTTTATATAAAACACTACAGTACTTTATATGAAACACTACAGTACTTTATATAAAACACTGCAGTACTTTATATAAAACACTACAGTACTTTATATAAAACACTACAGTACTTTATATAAAACACTGCAGTACTTTATATAAAACACTACAGTACTTTATATAAAACACTGCAGTACTTTATATAAAACACTACAGTACTTTATATAAAACACTGCAGTACTTTATATAAAACACTACAGTACTTTATATAAAACACTGCAGTACTTTATATAAAACACTACAGTACTTTATATAAAACACTGCAGTACTTTATATAAAACACTACAGTACTTTATATAAAACTCTGCAGTACTTTATATAAAACACTAC